CTAGAAACCTGACATGCAAGCTGCTAGAAACCTGACATGGAAGCTACTGGAAACTTGATGTATTTTACTTTTGAGCATTATGTTCTAATATGCATTAGTATAGACACTACAGATAACTTTCGAAAGGATAAGTATTTTGTTTTTTCATTGTTACACAAAATACTGGGTGTATGTATATTGTTTAAAAAAAAACAAACAAGAAAATAGACATCACACCTTCATTCTCGTTTATAAGATTATTGTGGAAGTTTATACTGCAACTTTTAACCTAAACAGTAAAGAATCCAATGTTGTAATGTTTTGACCTGCTTCTGCTTTTTTGCACACACACACACACACACACACACACACACACACACACACTAGTCAAACAAAAACTAAATCTAAATCTGAGGCCAGCTTGCTGAAATTCTGGTTTTACAATGCACTCAACAGAGAAGAGTTCAACCTATACAGCACAGGCTTTATTTTAAAAAAGCCAGTGTTTTGGCATCAGTCCATCTGATCTCCAATAGGTGCTGCCAATTTTGATCGGCTGATTGTTTTAGACAATACTGGTTTCTCTTCCTCCATTTAAATGATCAAAATGACACAATGATAACAAATGTTACAGTCTACATTTAAACAACAAGAAACATTAGCAAATATAAGAGAATACATTAAATAGCAAATGGATGAAGCAGCAAAGCATGCCCTTCACGCGATCTCAAGGCATGGCAGCTGAATGCGTCAATTAAACTGCAAACAATGCATTCATCGCTCACAGAGTTGGGGGATCTAGAGTCAACAAGTCATCTCCATGTCATGTATTTGTTCTACCCAGCCACTAAAAGCAAATGAATCCAATCTGCAGAGTGAATTAACCTGTGCAGATTGGACTCACCTGGTTCAGTGACTTGACGGCTCCAGATCCCCCATCTCTGGTCAGTACAGATACAAGAAAATAAACGCAAATATCCAACAAAAATGGGCTGATATTGGTCTCCATCTACTACAGAATAATAGAAAATAATAAAATACAGATTTTTGTAAGCAACAAATGTTTTAGACATGTAAATATGGGACCATTGTGTAAGGTCCATTTTGTTTAGCCTTACCTTTAACCGGGGCATGAAAGGATTGTGTTTCTTGGGTTTCCTGACTTTAGGCTAGAACAAAAAACAAGATTATTCCATCTCAATAAAATTAAACTCTTTCAAAGTTACCTTTTGAAATAAAAACCTCACCTTCTCCGTAACTTCCTTGTCCTCATCATCCTTCGTTTCCTCTTTGGATGATGAGTCTTCTTCGTCTTTCAGCCCTTCATCATCAGACGCAGCCTGATGTAATAATAAAAAAATACAAAAACAGACATTTGCAATATTAGTTGAAACTCACAATTCCAGCAGTTGCAGTACACACACTGCTTCTTCTTGTGTAAATATCTATATGATCCATGTTAAAAATATATATATATATGAAGTAAAGGTAAGCCTTGATGGGGAAGCTTAAATGAAAGTATATTGAGTTAGAAAATGAAACAGACTTTCACCAAATGTTTTATTAAAACCGATGGAACCGTTTGATCTTGGTGAGACTTTGCGTACTCAGGCAGATATTTTGAGCTTTACCTTGGGCCGAGGCATGAAAGGATTATGCTGCTTTGGCTTCTTGGCTTTAGGCTAAAGAAAATAAACAACAAATATAAATTTACAGAAGGACTCAAATAGTAACTTGAAGTCATATAAATGTGTTCCTGACATGCAAACCCCCCCCCCAAAAAAAAAAACACATTTTAAAAAAAGCAACTGACCTTCTCTGGTTTGTCTTTGTTCTCATCTTTAGTTTCCCCTTTGGATGACGACTCTTCTTCATCTTTTAGCCCCTCATCATCAGATGCAGCCTGGTAGTTATTAAAGAAAACAGATGAAAAAACAACATTTTATGTCTGGCTTTTAATGTCTTTCAGGTTTTGTGCTTCTTAACTCTGAAACGAGCTCTACTTTGAACAGTTACTTTATGCTCAGGCTTTACTTTTTGGGTTTCTTTGGTTTCCCGTAAAGCTCTTTGGGTTTATAAATCTACTGACACTTTATGAAAAAGAGAACTGAAAGGAAACCATGAGGCCACTTTCCTTCATTTATAGTATCTTTGGTTGAATATTTAGTAAAGAAGATTTTGATAAAAATCTGAGGAGACGTAAAAAAAACAAAAAACTTTTACGATTATTTCATTAAACAGAAAAGAGCATTTTGAAATCTTTCTGGGATACAGAAGCAATGGCAGAAACCAATTTGAACAAACCATATTTCTAGGTTTTACCTTGAGCCGAGACATAAAGGGATTGTGTTGTCTGGGTTTCTTGACTTTGGGCTAAAAACAAAAAAAACCCCAACATATTTCACTGTTTTGGTTTTAATTACAGAAATGATCTATCTTTAGCCGTTTATCAAACAGACAAACAAAATGGTCAAAAATAAAACTGACCTTCTCTGGTTTCTCCTTCTCCTCTTCGTCTCTAATTTCTTCTTCATCTTTTAACCCTTCATCATCAGATGCAGCCTGACACAAAAAACACAAAAGTTAGAAATAGAAAACATTCAGCTGCTGGTCTTTCATTTATATCTATTAAACATGCTGATAATCAGAATAATCACAAAGCTGGGTGCTATTTGAAGAACTATGGTCATGCATTAGTTAAAGATGAATGCAAAGGAAACCAAAATAGTTCAGTTTGCCTAAATTCTGGTATTTTCTAATATCAGATTCACAGGAACAGTAAAAATTGAACTCAGTAGTGATTTAAGAAAACCATCAGGCAGAATTTAACAATCTCAGATCTTTTCTATAATACGGGACACGTCGACATGGAAAGAAACATTTCTGAGCCTTACTTTGACTCGAGGCATGAAAGGATTATGCTTCTTGGGCTTCTTGACTTTGGCCTACAAACAAAAAAAAACAAAAAGTCTGATGACAAATTTTTCTTTTAAAATTAAATGCAGAAAAGTTCCAATATTTGGCGTTAGCTCAGATTATATCTATTACTGACTTGTAGATAATGCATTAAAAAAAGAGGCAAGTCAGACCTTCTCTGGTTTGTCTTCATCCTCATCCTCATTTTCCTCTTTGGATAAAGACTCTTCCTCATCAGATCCAGCCTAAAATCCACAATAAGAAACGGATAAACAAATCTGCATTACATCTAAATGTTTAATAATACCCTGCAAACAGATGTTCATAAAATGAGGAGATACACAACACCTCAATTGATAGAACAAGACATTAGATTTAAGCATTATAGCCCATGCAGCCAATTTAATTTTTAAGACTTGCCTTATTTTAGATGGTCTAAATATCAAATAAAATCATAATCATATAATAATAAATAATAGCAATAATAAGACATAAATACTAAAAAAACAACAATAATAAGAAATCATTTCTGTTCAATGTAGAACAATTGATCAAAGTTTAAAAGATCAAAAGCAGCCCAGAGAGAAAAGAAGAAATAAATGAAAATAAAACTGATTTAAAAGCTCTTTAGTTCATGAAGCTTCAAAGCAGATAATGGCTCTCTGGATAGCAACCCATTGTTATCCTTAAGGCGCGGTTACGGGGTTTCTTTTTTATAAAATCATGTTTCCCTACACAAAGTGGGTGAGGCCTCCTCAATGCTTTTACAACCCAGTGTTAACTTTAGCAACCAAATAAAGAGAAATGAATCAAGAAATACTTTCTTTGTTAAAATAAGAATATATAGATAGAGGCGCTTCAAGCATAAAAAAAATGACTTTCCAGGTAAATTCACTCCCTTCTTTCCCGCTTGCTCTCAGAAATTAGCTTAAAGTCTGACTATCAAACAAAGTTACACAGACTGTGTCTACAAAGAATTAACCTTGATAATGTGACATTAGTGCTGAATTTATTTACCTTGAATCCAATCTGTGGTATGAACAGATGGTGCTTGTGTTTTTTTCCTTTAGCCTGAAAAAGAAACGGGTAGAGTCATCGTATGTTGGAGCACGTCACATGAAAAGCCTGAAAAACCACATTTCATAACGTCACAGGTGTTCGAATCAAAGAGCTGAATCTAAGACAAACAAGCTCCAGTTGGCTTTTTAACACCGGGATCATTGTCTCATCAGGAAACATCCGTATGGAAGTACGGCTGTTCTAATGTTCAACTGCACCACTCAATTCCACCATACTGAGTAAAGAATGACTATAATCTACTTTTGGCTCTCATTACTCAGTTTAAAAATCCACATCAAGCGTCAACAAATTCAACCAAATCAGAATAATGAGAGATTAATCCTCATGTGACTAAAAGACGTTGAGCTTTGCCACAAACTCCCTTTTAAATAGCCAGAGGGCGTCACATGTCCTTTGCATGGGTTTGGCCTGACGGAGTCAACAGGGAAGCAGGAACTGGGAAGGATAGATCCGAACTAAACAGACTCAGTCCGTATTACAAGAGCTTATTTGACACAGTGATAGCATTCAGACAGACGGAGATCCCAGAAATACATTTCATAAAGATCATCACAGCCTTGGATTAAATGTTAAGAGAAAAAATGAACAAAATAAAAACAGACTCACTGATTTGCTTTGTAGCTTTTCTGTGTCTTTTGTCACATCTGATTCTTTGTCATTGCCTTCGTCTCCTGGTTGGCTCTGCTGTAAATGAATACAAAAAAAAAATAAATCCTAAATTATGATTGTTACACTCTTACAATATTTTTAAAAAGCAAAAATTTTTATTAGAGGATCCTAAGAGAACATTTGTAGTACAAATTTAAACTAAACTATGTGCCTGATAAGAAGTTTGTACAAGATTCCTAATCTGTGTAAAAATGTTAGCATGTTTATACTAACTTTAGAGAATTCTGATCTCTACCTAAAAGCTAATTATATAAGAAGATATTCTTTTACTAGATGTCACCTTGAGATAAAACACCACGTTTTGAAAAGGACTATATTTACAAAACATACCAAACTAAGAACATTACAAGACAACATGTAGAAATAAGAGAACTCAAAGTGTTTTAACTCTCCTGCTGTTTGGTTTGTAACTAAACGGTTGATGAAAATCTATTTTAGAAGCAGGGGAAATAAGCCGCATGTATAAAAAGAGGGATTACTGGAAAATAATACATTTTACATTTTAAATTGGTTTTAGAATTTCTAGCAATTCGATAGTAAATAGAGTGCTATTGTTATTAACGCACAAAACCTTTTTTTAGGTAATTACCTCCGCCAAGGAGGTTATGTTTTGTCTGTCTGTCCGTCTACATTATAACTTGAAAAGTTATGATCGGATTTTAATGACATTTCTTTCAAGGCTGATTTGGTGATTTAGAACATAATCTGGATACAGGATTTTTTTAATGAGTCTTCACCATTGTGACACCGGGCAGGCAGTTCCCCTCTAAACCAGAGGGGGCAGCAGTGACTATTGACAGCCTCAATATCAGACTCAAAACGTCCGGAGGTATTTTACAGAACACACCCTCGTCTGCTTTGCCGTGGGAACAGCAAACATTTAATCTTTAAGTATAGAGAAGATCATTGTGGTGGCATATTTTCAAGCTAAAGTTTTTTTGAAATTTCAAAACCTTCGCCTACTACTGGTGTGGCATGAAATACACAGTTTATAATGTTTCCATTAATATTTTGTTCACTGGCATTGGGATTAAAATGTCAAGCAAATGTAGCGGCACCTGAAAAACAATCCTTTTGTTTGTCATGTGCTGAGGCAAGGGGCTGCATGCCCTCCAACATTTCCTTATTCATCATACTGGACGTTTCTTCCTGTTAAAGTCAGTTTTCCTCTTTACTGTCGCTACGAGCATGCTTGGTGCGAGGGATGGCTTTCGCACAGAGGTGGAAGATGTACAGACATCAAGTCATCTCTAAATCATGTATTTATTCTACCCAGCCACTGAACCAGGTGAGTCCAATCTGCACAGGTTAA